TCAACCTAGGGAATTAATGATACTTTTATTCCCTTTTGTTTCTCATGGAAGAGAATTATCAGGCTTAAATTATTTATATTGTATTGGAAGACTCATTTTACCTTGATTTTTGTGAAATATGATAATAGGATTTTTAAAAGGCACTTTTAGCACTTTCTATTTCTTTTTTAAATTTGGAATCATACAGAGCCCAAATTAAAGAAAAACATACCTCAAAGTGTGCAAGCATCCCAAGTGGTTTTAGGTTTTGTTTACTCATTGGTGTTGAAACAGCAGGGAAGGAACAATATATTTGGTAATTTTCAGTGATGTAAAAAATGAGGCTATTATTCTTCATGATAATACTCAGTAATATTCTTCTTTTTTGTTGTTGTTGTTGTTTTTTTATTGTTAGTTTCAGGTGTACAGAACAATGCAATAGTTATCCTTTTCACCCTTCACACAGAAACAACCCCCCTCCCCCAATACTCAGTAATATTCTAATGGGAATAGGTTTGACTACTCACATATCACATATGACATTTGAGGTATAATTTCAAAATCAGACCAAATAACATTGCTAGATTCTAGGCTCTACTGCAGCTCTACTGTTAGCTGACTTGACATTATCATCTGTATTTCCAGTACTTAGCATAACTTTAAGCTCAATACATATTTTTGGTTGAATGAATGAATATTTCATGCAGTGGCATTCTTAAAAAATTATAAATGTGATCCTTAATCCATGTTTCTAGTATTCCTTCTCCACTCCTTGCCAAGGAGTTACAATTTACCTAGGAGCTTATATGTTTCAAACAAATTTTTCTAATGAAGTTGCTTCTGCTTTTGTCAGCTCTCAAGAATAACACCATGTGGTGAGAAGGTGTAGTATACTATATCGGGAACATCACAGTTTTTGATGGACACAAACCTAGGTTCTGATCGCTGTTCTGCTGTTTACTATCTGTGTGCTCAGGGCAAGATATTTCTCCACCCTGATGTTGAGTTTTGCCATGCACAGAAATGAGAATGATCATTTAAATCTTTAATTGAGCAGTCAATAGATCTAACACTGCCTGGTGCATAGCAGGCACTCAGATTGCCTAATTAGATCATGTTTGAGGCATTATTTTTAAATGAGTCACAAGTAAAAGGCAAGTGGCTACCATGTTTTTGAATGTTTCCCACTTTCTTCTTGTTTCACCAGACGACGACTTTTTTCATGAACTGCCAGAAACCTTTCCATCTGATCCACCTGAGCCTCTGCCACATTTTCTTATTGAGCCTGAAGAAGCTTATATTGTGAAGAATAAGCCTGTGAACCTGTATTGTAAAGCCAGCCCCGCCACCCAGATCTACTTCAAGTGTAATAGCGAATGGGTTCATCAGAAGGACCACGTAGTAGATGAGAGAGTAGATGAAACCTCCGGTGAGTTGACCATTGCATTTGGACTGCTATTTAGGATTCACTTACTACTGTAGTGTGTTGTCATACTATTCATTCAATTATTGAAATTGAAAATGAAGTTATTGTTCTTCACCAAAGTGTTTTGAATCTGTTTGGTTAAGATTTGGTGATCTCATTCCATGCATTGCAAAGTAAAATTTAATTCCTGATTTAATTCCTGTTGGACTGTATGGAGTTAAAATGTGGCTCATGCTTAAGAAAATAAATAATGAGAATGAATAGACTGAATTAATGCTAAATGTCCTAGTAAAAGCTGCCCTTGAATTTCATATGTGTGTCAAGTCTGGTGTCAGGTCAGGTCTAAATATCCTGGGGCTGGTGAACATATTTAACTAAGGGTAAACTGTGCTTGTTTCTACGACTCTCCAATGTTAATTCACATGCATCATTTCCCCTTATATTTTTTTAAAGCAATTTATAAATGTTGTAGATTCAAAGGATCTTGTATCCCTAAAATATCTAGAAATGAATCCTAACTACCTACCTTAGTTAAAGTTAATTTGAGGGTGATTGAGATAGTGATAGTGTGGGATGCAGGAGCAGTGTTGAGTGTAGCCACCACCTGAGTGCATCTGAATCCTGGCATGGTTACCGCTCCTGACTTTGCTGCTCTGTAAATATAATCCTTAAGGGTACTACTAAAGGCATAGAAAGGATGAAGTGGATTTTAATAACCTGAGGAATTTAGATTAACTACAAATGAAACTTTTCTTGTTAGCAATTATTTACCCCACGGTGGGTAACATAAGATAGTTGTGGAATCTCCTAGAATTGTTTTAATTTGGAAAGACATGCAGTGGTTTAAGTGTCTTTGCTCTCTAGCAGGGAGAAGAGCAATTTGAACTTTCAGATCCCTTCCAGGTTGATGATTTAAAAATATATGAGACATACACTTTAAATATTAACATTTCACTAATCAGTTTTTCCAAGCTAAATAGTGACATACATGACGAAAGTGGAAGCATTTAAATATCTTCATTTTCCTTCATGAATATCTCTACATACCAAAATGAATACATGTTTTCAAAATCCAAATTGTAATTAATTCATATTTGTATCCAAATGTGGGATTAACCAAGGGTGAGCAAGACCAGCACTTGAGGGAGATCTGTGCACAATGTCTCTAAAAACATAAAGAGTATATTGAGGTGATGGGACATAAAGAAATAAAATAGACTGTGAGAGGACTGAGAAGAGGCATGTGAAGCCTATACTTATGTAACACAAATGGTCTGAGACAATCAGGTGGCAGCTCTACCTAATAGTTTGTCAATTTGTGAATCAATATGCTCACTGCATGCAAGCTGATGATTGTGGAAATAACTGGGTAGCCAACTATACGGTAGTGGACCTCAGGGAGTTGCCCCACCTCTTAGTCTAATTACTCAGAAAATAACCTCACCAGATGTCTTCAGAATCTCAAGTAAATTGAGTTTTATTTGTTTTAGCTCATTTATCTGTAAAGATTTGAAACACAGAAGTTTTAACGGTAAGAGGAAAAACAAAGGAATCATAAAAGCTAAAATGAGAGTCACAAACATATTTAGGCCTGTTTTTACTAAATTAATGAAAATGCCTATATGGGAAGATTAGAAATAAAATTCAAACTGCTCTGATATTGAGCATCTCTCACAGTTTCATTCTATGTTGGTTTCATTTTATATATATAAAATATATATATATATATAATATATATATATATATATATTTTATATATATATGTATATATATATACATATATATATATAATCTATACATACACACACACACATACCAGGGGTACAAAAAAAATGTATACAAGTGGACACTTTGGTCAACATTGCTCAAGCAGTATTTCGCTGTAATCAGAAGTGTCTGGACGCTAATAGTAACCACTTGGAGCACCTCTTGTAATTGCAGAAGTCAAACGTGACTTGTATTAATATTTTGTTATTGGTATATATTGAGTATTACAATTTTAATAGTTTTTTCCATTCTTAAAATGTGTATCCTTTTTTGGCACTATATATATACCTTATTTCCCTAAAACATACTTTTATTATTTTCACATAAAATTAATATTGCACATACCAGTATTTAAAAATACTGTTCAAAACAACTGCAAATGAAATATGAGGTTTGACAATTAAGTTCTCAGACTTGCCACCGTGCGCTTACATTGGCAGAATTGTACAAACACCTCGGTAAGGTTTCATAACCTTGGTGTATCAGTGTCTCACAGCTGTGTTCATGTCAATATGTGGTGTCTTGATGAGTGGTGTTAGTTATTGTTGTGTGTTTTTGTGTGCGGTCGCGAGAATGTCTGAGCTTGAATTAGAGCAAGTAACAAACATTAAGTTTCTTGTGAAACTTGGCAAGAGTGGAAATGAAATCAGGGACATTTAGTCCAAGTTTATGTGGATAATGCCATGAAGAAAACAGCAGTGTACAAATGGATTAAATGTTTTTCTGAGGAGAGAGAATGCATCACTGATGAAGAGAGGTCAGGGCAACCAGCAACAAACAAAACTGACAAAAACACTACAAAAATTCATCAAACCTTGCATCAAAATTGTCGGCTGACTGTGAGAAGCACAGCAGACCAAGTGAACATCAATAGAGAAACAGTGATAGGAAAACCTTAACTGGAAACCTTGGCATGAGAAAGGTGTGTGCAAAAATGGCCCCAAAGGAGCTCACAGAAGAACAAAAGCAAAGGAGAATCGAAGTTTGCAAAGACGTTTTGGAAAGGGAAGATGATGTTTTGGGCTGTGTTATCACTGGTGATGAAACATGGGTGTACCAATACGACTCAGAAACAAAGCGTGAAAGTGCACAATGGAAGTCAGCTAATTCTCCATGACCAAAAAAATTCCGTCAGTCCAAATAAAGAATCAAAACGATTTTGCTAGTCTTTTATGATATCGGAGGGATTATTCATTATGAATTTGTACCAACTGGACAAACAGTTAACCAACTTTACTCTTTGGAAGTGCTGAAAAGGCTGCATGAAAAAGACGTGAACGACCTGAACTTTTTGCCAATTCATGGCTCTTGCAACATGACAATGTACTCGCTCCCACGGCACTGTCTGTGAGGGAATTTTTAGCCAGTAAACAAATAACTGTATTGGAACACGTTCCCCACTAACCTGATTTGGCCACCAGTGACTTCTTTCTTTACCTGAAAATAAAGGAAATATTGAAAAGAAAACATTTTGATGATATTCAGGACATCAAGGTTAATACAATGACAGCTCTGACAGCCTTCCCAGAAAAAAGTTCCAAACTTGCTTCAAAGAGTGGACTAGGTGCTGGCATCAGTGCATAGCTTCCCAAGGGGAATATTTCGAAGGTGACCATAGTGATATTCAACAATGAGGTGTGTAGCACTTCTTCTAGGATGAGTTCGCGAACATAATTGGCAGACCTCATATATGCCATGTTTTCATTCAAATTCAGGATGGAATAGATGAGAGCTAAGGGTAGATTTGGTAGCACCAATACTTGAATCTCCTAAGATTCATGGATGGAGTGGAATATAATATACCTTTTTGCTGTCTTTTATTTTCATCCAAAACTTTATAAGAAAGTCAGCATCCAGATGATGTATTACTTTTAAAGTTAGCAAAAAGGCAAAGATACCCACAGATAACAGTATTATTTGGTATTGTTCTTAACATACTAGCCAATGTAATTATATCATTTAAAAAGACAGTGTAAAAGAAAATATGTAGTTATAAAGTTAAGAAGAAATTTGCATAATTTAGAAAGAAAAAATTTAAATTTTACTCAGAGGCCAAAAATACAATGACTTGAATAAGAGGACAGATGCATCTTGTTTTTGGCTAGGAAAACAATATTTTTTAAAATGCTTGCTGTTCATAAATGAATCCATAAGGTCACCAATGTTATATGAAAAATAATTTATTAAAGTAGCTGAAAGAATTCTGAAATAGTAGTATAATGAGGGAAACTCAGCTCTTTATAAATGTATTATAAAGCTGAAGAAGTTAAAAATGTTTGATCTTAGCAGAGTATAAAACACATAGATTAATGGATTAAAATAGAGACCAGGAAATATTCAAACACCTAAGGCTTTTTACAATGTGATAAAGATGATTTTTCAACCCACGAGGTAGGCAGTTGGGAAAGCACAAAATAAATAAATAAAGCTTGGGTTGTATCTCATTCTTTAGACTAACATAAACTCTAGATGTCAGGGCATAATGTCATGATCATTATCATCATCATCACTAGGAGAAAATTGGTTCGTTGTTTGGTTGGTTGGTTGGTTTCAGTGGTGGGCAAAGCTTTTTTTTTTTAAAGATTTTTATTGGGGAATTGGGGGAAGGGGAACAGACAAGTTGCTGTTTGTTTGTTCTTCAGTCTAGTTGTGGAGGACGTTGCTTCACTGGCCCAAGTTGGCACCATCATTGCGCTCTTCCCAGGCCAGGCAGATCAGTCGCCGGCTTCTGGACAGCCGCTCACTGCGGCTGCTGGCCGCTCACGCTGGCTGCTGGCTACATACGGTAGCCCATGGCAACCCACTGCCACAGGGGCTGCAGCCTACGCCGTCGCATGCGATTCTCAGCAGCCCAGCTCCAGGTTGAGCTGCTGTTCAGCATCTTAGCTGTGGAGGGCAGTGTCACTGGCCCTCATATGTGGGATCCGAACCAGGGCCCTCTGGCATCCCAAGCCAGTTCTTAACCATCGTGCCACTTGGCTGGCCCAAAGCCTTTTTAATGAAGATAAAATTGAGAAGTCTTATAAGAAAGCATTATTAAATATAAATAGTCAAAGCAAGAAAACCACAAAGCCTCCCTCCCCTCAAAAAAACAAACAAAAAACCTAAACCTGATTATATCTGTGGGCATATGTTAATCAAAGGGCTAATTTAGTTAATATACAATTATCTCAGAATATATTTAAGCAAAAGATCAGCAACCCAATAGAAAACTGAGCAGAGTCTGAACACAGAGA